TTGGTGATTTCAACAACGATACTCGACTAGATATCGTTGTCGCCAATTGGGGTAGCAATGATGTGAGTGTCCTTCTTGGATATGGAAATGGTTCTTTTGCAAAAGAAATAAGATATTCAGTTGGCTCTTCTCCACGATCTGTAGCTGTTGGTGATTTCAACAACGATACCCGACTAGATATTGTTGTTGCCAATGGGGGTAGAAATGATGTGAGTGTCCTTCTTGGCTATGACTATATAGTTTTTGTAAAGCAAATGATGCTCATAACTGGAAATGGTTCCCGACCACAGTCGTTAGTGATTAGTGATTTTAACAAAGATGGTCTAATGGATATCGGCGTTGTAAATTCAGTTACTCACAGTATTGATATTTTTCTTGGATATGGTAATATATCTTTTACAAATCAAGCGACATATTCAACTCGCCCATATTTATATCCATGCGCTATGGCTGTTGGTGATTTCAACAATGATACTCAAGTAGATATCGTTTTTAATAGTTGTAACTCGGATACTGTTGGTGTTTTTCTTGGATATGGCAATGGCTCATTTGGAAATGTGATGTCGTATTCAACAGGTTCAAATTCGACTCGATACTCTCTAGCTGTTGGTGATCTTAACAACGATACTATACTAGACATTGTCGTCGCGATTTATGACAACAACAATCTAGGTGTATTTCTTGGATATGGTAGCGGCACATTTGCAAGTATCATCCTATTTCCGTTGGACTATGGATCCAATCCATTTTCCATTGTCGTTGGAGACTTCAACAATGACAGGAAACTAGATATTGCCGTTGCCAATAATGGAACTGACAGTTTAAATATTCTCTTGCAGACTTGTTAGCCTTTTCTCTCGCACTTTATATTTTTCTATTACTCACTTGATTGTAACGCTCCTTTATTTAGATAGAACTTTGTTTAACCATTCGAATGTTTCTCAGTACGAAAGATCAGTGGAGAAAGAGAATGTACTGGAACAGATGTGTAGGTGTGGATAACTGTTGATGTGGGCCTAAGTATGATGCTTAGTGATAGTGACTGGTTGCATATGTTAATCTGGCTATGGTAGAGCAGGATCTAGGCATGAATAGAACTTGAACTGTAGGTGCAGTTGCTTATCTTCCATTCATTAAGACCTACCCAACCCACATTCCATACCTTTCTTGAAGATAAAAATGAAGTTTATGGAAGATGTACTTTAATTGCATTAGATAAATAATATTCTATATTGTATATTATTGGGTGTACTTAAATCAGTTAAAAAACAGATCAACCTATCTCTCAACAAAAAGACAAGCTCAATCTGTTGATCTCAACTTACTTTTCAGCAATTGACTAAGTCGAAAATAAAATGATTAACAATAAAATTAAAAAAAATAAATGTGTTTAAAAATAAATTGATTTAAAAGAATGCAAAGTTAATTTCGCCGACGCATTTCATGTTATTTTATTGAAATATTGAAACACTCATATGGACTCAGCATTACAAAAGAAAGGTGAAAGCACGAAATAAACAATAATGAAAAACGAAAACAACAAACGCAAAGAACAAAAAGACAAATAAAACAACTTGAATGAAATGTTGAATAAAGGAAGAGGTTTGGTTTGTGAAATTACTAAAGTTATTATTTTAATTTTGAATTTTGGAATTGAGTATCGAATGATAAAATAGTTTGTAAATCGTATCTGAATTAAGTTATGGAAAATGAAGTTGATTTACAAGTATACCATCTGAATGGTTTATAAAGTCAAGGCATCTAAGGTGTCAAATGGATTTATATTACATGAACAATACAGGGTGATTGAAAAGTAAATCCCTATTTTAAATCCTTTATTCCTCTTTAAAAAGAAGAGACATTATAATTTTTTTTACTGCGTTGGAGCATGCCCTATGCCATTTTATTTTATATAAGAAAGACCATTAATTGGTTGAGTGTCCAAGATCAAACATGAATACCACCTAAAAAATGCTTGAAAAATAACTTCTTATTTTTCATCGTTTTTTACTTTTATACAAAGCATATATGTTGTAATATTTTTTTTCTATTTTGAGGCGTGTTTAATAGGTTTACGCGATAATGTCTCAAAAATAGCCGTGACAGTATTGCATTTCAAAACCATAAAAAAAAAATATTACAACATATATGCTTTGTATAAAAATAATAAACGACGAAAAATAAGAAGTTATTTTTCAAGCATTTTTTAGATAGTATTCGTGTTTGATCTTGGACACTCAACCAATTAATGGTCTTATATAAAAGAAAATGCCATAGAGCATGCTCCCAAACAGTAAAAAAAATATTATAATGTCTTTTCTTTTTAAAGAGTGATAAAAGATTTAAAATAGGGATTTACTTTTCAATCACCCTGTATATTGGCTAGACTGGGGGTCTAATGTCTATCAGACGATGAATTAATGCACTTTACTCACTTACCCTTACACCCTATCCTGATGATTCTTGTTTCAATTAGAATGAAATTTAAATTGTCTTAGTTATATTTTCATTGCTCCTCAAACAGTCTCAGAAAGTTTTGCTACTACAATATATATCAAACAATCGACCTATTTAATCATTGTTTCCATGTTGACTGAACTGTCCTTCATTATTTTTGATTGTTTTATATAATCATGTAGCATCAAAATTCAGAACATACCTGATGATGATTATTATTTAATCAATAGTTGAAATGCGATAAGAATTGTTATTGTCAGCTCAAATATTTTGGTAGTGACCGGTCACTACAAATATTCTTGTGTATCGATGATGTTTTTCTTTGACGATATGAAAATGAATATTGTCTAAAAATAACTAGTAAAAGAATTAGGATCATTGAGACAACTATACAAAAGTTGAACCTCAAGAGCTGTTCACGAATTGTCTAATTTTCTCCTCATAGTTACGAGATAAAACACTTTTTTTCTCCACTTCCTTTTCCTCTTAAGCGATGTGACGCTGTCATAAAAATACCAACTATTGTAACTCATTACATGAAAATCAATAAACTCACATAATAAAGAACCTAGGCTCAGACGAACACTCATAGAATGAAGCTCATGTTTATTGACTAATTAGTTTTCAATACAAAAAAAAAACATCATTCAACAGTACAAATTAGAAAGCAGCAATTCCACTATATGTAGCTAAAACAAAGACGTCGTCACTGCGTTGAGCAACAACTAAATGAACATGTGACAATTGTGTATAATCGAGAAACGAAAATTGATCGACTTTTACATCAGGATAACTACATTGACACGATGCATGATTGAAACCTTTTGTTTTCTTCGCCAACTGTTCAATATTTACACGATAAAATGAAATTGGACTATTTTTCGGAACTAAATCTTCTAATATGTAAGTATAATCGTATAACACAGAATCAGAAAATGCTTTATTTGATAGGTGTTCAACAGTCAATTGATGTGTATCAAAATCGAAAATAAGATGATTGTAGAAGCGTAACAAACCTCGAACTCTTTCGAATCGATAGGTGCCACCCATTCCACAATTACAAGCTGATTCCATGAAAGGATCTTTGGAAGATATCATTCGAAATAGACATGTTCCCGAGTCTTGTTCAGTCTGTTTGAGTAAATGTTCCCTATAGCTTAATGCCGTATCTTTTACATGATCGAAATCTTGCGATCTAAAATCTTGGTTAACTAGATAATTCTTATCATCAGCCCAAGCATGCTGACGTTGATTATAGAGCAGTCTTGATCTATATGATCCACCTTCATAACCGTTTGCTTCCAAATCCAATGAATCGGAATCATCTATCTATAGATGAATACATGATAAAAGATCTTGTCCAATAAATTGTGATTGATGTCGATTCGTTAAATATGTTCGATCAACACTATGATCGAAATCAACTTTCGGCTGACGTCTTTCTTTCTCTTTTTGTTCCACTCGATATAAAGAACCATAGCAATTTCGATTGTAGAATGCATCGGCTAAGACTCTTTCCATGTGTACTTCGCATACTTCTTGAGTATTTTGATCGTATCGAACGATGTACGTCGTTGAATCTTTTCCATGTCCTAGTAGAAAGAAAGCATAAACAGCCGCTACTCGACAACATCCATCGATATGTTGATAGAAAAAATCCGAATCAGAAAAACGAAATAAAGTTTGACTTCCGTATTGAGTTTGGATAGTTGGAATAAATTTCGGTCGAGCTGGACCAACGATAAAAGCTTTTATTTCTTGTGCATCCCAAAGAATTTTCAACATTTGAAATTGTGGAAAAGCAAAGATTAAATGTTGAATATCTTGTTCATGCAAATGTTTGAATATATGAAGCCAAAGTTCAGATGGTAGCTGATGAATGAGTGATTTTTCTTCGACTTTATTCACGATTGATTGTTTCAATTTGGATTCAAGTAAACGTGGATAACAATATCGAATCGATAATGAACGTTCATAGAGTTCTGCTGTTTTCATTGTTTTATCGACGGCCATGTCAGAATCATTATAACTTTCAAGTTCATTCTGTTGAGCTTCACGAAAAAAATTCAAACAAGCAAGATAATCTTCTTTCTCTTCAGGACATATGGCAAATCCCAATGGTTTCTCTTTTCTTTTCACTAGTACATCGGTTCGCAGTACTAGACGTTCAGTTTGAGCAAGCGGATCCAATATTTCTGGTGGCGTTGCTTCATGTAAGAGATTATGTGTAAATAGAACAGCAAAACCTTTCTTTGGTTTTAATGTGATACATTCAAAACCATTTTCTAGCCCACCATAAGTTTCGATTTCTTCTGCAATAGTCAATCCTTTCACATCAGATTTCGATGATTGTTTAGGAAAGTAAAATTTTGTTTCACCTTTTTCATAATTATCATTCAAATAAATCAATAAACTCAATAATGATCGCTCATCGCCACTGGGAGCATATTGAGCATCTTTATGTAGACCGAAATAATCTCCATGATTATATTTATTCAATCGCATGGCTGGGTTAACTCCATTCATTGTCCACTGACCTTGAACATTGAATCCTAATGGTTTTGTATGATGAACTAACTTTGTTAATTTATTACTGAATTTTAAACGTCGCCATAATGTTCGACCTAATCGATCATCCATAACTACTAATCGAGAACTATTTCGTTTTCGAATATCATATTTCTTGGACATTTGTTCAAATGTTTTTTGTCGAATATTACTGAGAATTTCATCGCATTCATTTGAAGTCAGTAAAGTACCCAATTCGATTAGAATTAGATCATTTTGATGTTTGATTCGATTTAACTTGATTCCATCAGGAATTTTTGTTGGTACATTATAATTGATTAATAATGAACTAGAAATACCTAAATCTGTACTTCCTAAAAATTGATGACGATTCATCTTTTACAATTTGAACAATATATGCAAAATGTTTTCTCTCTTTTTCACAATAATTTCTCGTTATTTTTTTATAGTAAAACTGTTTATGTTATTGCTCAACATTTATGCAATGTCTTGACAACAAAAAAAAAATAATCAAATAAAACTTTTGTGATTGGTATGCGGGTGAACGAATGGGGGTAGAGAGAAGATGATCAGTTTCAACTTAGGTCAGACTTGATCGGTCGCCAAATAAATATTTTAGCTTTGAATGGTACAAAATGTTCACAGATAGTTTGATGCCAAATACCAATACATTTAAATCCATTTTTCCTTTTACATTCTTCAGATGCAATATTGTTGTAAGGCCAATAAGTGATATTCGTACATAAGCCATCAATACTATGACTTTTAGCAAGTGTGATTAAACTACTTGCAATACCTAGACCTTGGTATTCAAGCGATATACCTGTTTGTGCTAAATAATGAAAATGAGGAGATGAGATAAATTCATTCCATTGTTCAGGTGTTATAACACTCGGATCAAGTTCAATTTGACCATATGTAGAATCCATATATTGAAAAAGACCAGTCAGAGATAGTAATAATTGATAACCAGCAAATTTATTTTTATTATTATCAATAACACATAATAATAATGATCTTGATGGAGATAGTAATTTCTTTAAATGATCTATCGACCATTGAAAAATAAGAAATCCTCGACTCGTATCATAACTGTTTATTTCATCTTGATCATTGATTGATTTTCGAAAATGTTTCAATAATAAACTGGATTGACATTCAATAACTAGTTGACAAATATTGTTAATATGTATATGAGAAATATTGATCACATAAGTAATTAAATCATTTTTCAATTGTTGTTTGCAAACTAAACCTCCTGCTGTGTCACATTCAAATAATGATGATAAGAAACCATCCATATTAATAACAATCGCTTTCGTTCTCTCTAGATTGAGTTGATAGACTCGATCTCTTGTGGCATTCAAAAGGGTAGTATGCCAAACATATATAGCATTTTGTCTTATCTTCAATAAAAGAACATACACTTTAACCTATTACTATTAAAATACCATACCATATATGCAACTGGACAGATAAAAGATAACAAACGCAAAGAAGAAACATGTGACATGTGGTGTGATTTATGTGAACTTCAGCCTATACCTCGCATTTTACTTCAATCGTTCTTCTTTACATAGGGAGTGTGTGTGTAGTACGATGTCGTCGATCAATTTGATGCTTAAATGGCAATTACAGATACTAGTAGCTATTAGTTATCTTATATGGACTATTTCGATCATAATCGGTATTATTGGGTAGCTCTTTGACTGACTTATTTCCAATTTGTTTGGTCAAATAAGTGTCAAAAGCAGACCGAAATTAGAATGGACAAGTGATAGTGAAGATGAGAATTATGCAGTTATTATCGGTGCTGGTTTTTCGGATTTTGGAATAAGTATTAAATTAAAACAAACGAGTATGAATAAATTTGTGGTATTAGAACGTCATTCACATGTTGGTGGTACATGGTATGCAAATCGATATCCCATCGAATCTATATTCGTATTCATTTGAAATGAATTCACAATGAAGTCATAATTATAGTGATCAACCAGAGTTTACCGACTATTTAGAAAAATGTACAGATAAATATGGTATTCGTTTACATAAAAAAAAGTGGTGGTGAGAAATATTATTGTGGTCGTCATCTGATTGGAACTGATGGTATACTATCAAATGTATCGTATCCAACCGATATCGAAGGATTTGAAACATTTGAAGAAGAAATGTGTCATACGACTGAATAGAATGACAAAATTAATTTTCAAGGAAAACAAGTTGCTCTTGGTTGGTACTGGTTCAAGTGCAATTCAATGCGTACCTAAATTACACAGAAACTTTACGTAGGATATCTTGGAGCTGGATTCGAGTATTCCGCAACTGGATTCGCCTGTAGGTTATACCAAACGGTGAAAAGGGTATACCAAGATAGATCTCGACGAGATCTATCGATTCCACTAATTACTTTTTTTCTAAGACCCCTCCTTCATGGAAAAAAACCAAAAATACCGACAAAAAAATAAGCAAAATAACAAGCGTCTTCTGTAAAGCGCAACTGGATTCGCCTATAGGTTATACCAAAACGATAAAATGGTATACCAAGATAGAACTCGACGAGTGCTATCGAATGGACACCTTTCCGGCTCGATTCGATGCTTGAATCCCCTCCGAAAGGGCAAATCCTGGTCGAAATCAAGATTTTCGGCGATATTTCGCAACTGGATTCGCCTATAGGTTATACCAAAACGGCAAAATCTGGCCGAAATCCGGATTTTTGCGGTATTTCGCAACTGGATTCGCCTATACGTTATACCAAATCAAGAAAATGGTATACCAAGATAGAACTCGACGAGCCCTATCTAATGGACACCTTTCCGACTCGATTCGATGCTTGGATCCCCTCCGAAAGGGCAAATTTTGGTCTAAATCCGAATTTTTGGGAGATATTTCGTAACTGGATTCGTCTATAGGTTATACCAAAACGAGAAAATGGTATACCAAGATAGAACTCGACCAGCGCTATCGAATGGACACCTTTTTGGCTCGATTTGATGCTTGGATTCCCTCCAAAAGGGTAAATTCAAATCTCAATCCAAAAACACTTCAAAGAATATTGCCTTTTCATTAGATCTTTATGACGAGTATGCAAAAAAAAATATCAACAAATTTTTTTTTTCTTCGAAAAAGAGTGCTGAATATTTTTTAATTCATCTTTACTTATTTTTTACATGTTAATTTAGTTTTGTTTCTTATTGTGTGCATTGCTTTCAATTTTAACTATTCGCGATGACAGTGAGATGACGACATCTTTCTATTTAAATTTCGTTCTCTTTCTCATGAAGGACGGATATGTGTAGAGGAAGAGAAAAAAAAATGATTGGTGAATCCGTTTATCGCTATCCTCGTCCTCGCATTATTCATCGATATTGTTATCGACAGAAAAGGAAAAATATTTCATTGGTTTGTTTCTTGCAATCAATTGGATCAATGAAACGAAAGATGGAGCGACGTACATATATGTATCGTACATGACACATGAATTTTTTTTTTTTCAAAAACTTTTCGCGATTTCTCGATCAAGTATTACATATTATTAAATTGTTTTGTTAATTATGTTCAAAACTCATTGGGTTTACTTTTTTTTCTCTTTTATCTTTTAAAATTTTATAATAATTTTTACAAAGAATATTAATTGCTTTTTTTTTATTTATTTTAATTCAGTACTTAAAAGAATTTGCCTTTTTGAAGGAGATCGAAGCATCAAATCGAGCTAAAAAGGTGTTCATTCGATAGAGCTCGTTGAGTTCTATCTTGGTATACCATTTTCGCGTTTTGGTATAACCTATAGACAAATCCAGTTGCGAAATATCGCCCAAAAATTCGGATTTCGACCAGGATTTGCCCTTTCGGAGGGGATCCAAGCATCGAATCGAGTCGGAAAGGTGTCCATTCGATAGCGCTGGTCGAGTTCTATCTTGGTATACCATATTCTCGTTTTGGTATAACCTATAGACGAATCCAGTTGCGAAATATCGCCCAAAAATTCGGATTTCGACCAGGATTTGCCCTTTCGGAGGGGATCCAAGCATCAAATCGAGTCGGAAAGGTGTCCATTCGATAGAGCTCGTCGAGTTCTATCTTGGTATATCATTTTCTTGATTTGGTATAATCTATAGGCGAATCCAGTTGCGAAATATCTCCCAAAAATCTGGATTTCGACCAGGATTTGCCCTTTCTGAGGGGATCCAAGCATCGAATCGAGCCGGAAAGGTGTTCATTCGATTGAGCTCGTTGAGTTCTATCTTGGTATACCATTTTCATGATTTGGTATAACCTATAGGCGAATCCAGTTGCGAAATACCGCAAAAATCCGGATTTCGGCCAGAATTTGCCGGTTCGGAGGGGATCCAAGCATCGAATCGAGCCGGAAAGGTGTCCATTTGATAGAGATCGTTGAGTTCTACCTTGGTAGACCATTTTCTTGATTTGGTATAACCTATAGGCGAATCCAGTTGCAAAATACCGCAAAAATCCGGATTTCGGCCAGAATTTGCCGGTTCGGAGGGGATCCAAGCATCAAATCGAGCCGGAAAGGTGCCCATTCGATAGAGCTCGTCGAGTTCTATCTTGGTATACCATTTTCTCGTTTTGGTATAACCTATAGGCGAATCCAGTTGCGCTTTACAGAAGACGCTTGTTATTTTGCTTATTTTTTTGTCGGTATTTTTGGTTTTTTTCCATGAAGGAGGGGTCTTAGAAAAAAAGTAATTAGTGGAATCGATAGATCTCGTCGAGATCTATCTTGGTATACCCTTTTCACCGTTTGGTATAACCTACAGGCGAATCCAGTTGCGGAATACTCGAATCCAGCTCCAAGATATCCTACGTGAAACTTTGATGTATCACATTTATATGTTTTTCAACGAACAGCACCTTGGGTGACTCCGTTAAGGGTGTGGGTGTGGCTCTACTCGTGAAGCACCCACACCCCACCCTGGTCGACGAGTGGAATCAAATAGGCAGCAATGTACTGCTGCATTAGTTGATTCAGTTAAAAATCGCTTGGAAGAATGTATACAACAAGGAGAATATTCAACTCAATACTGATCTTATTCCTTTTTACAAAAAAAAAAAGAAAAAATAATAAACGAAGAACTTGTGGAATATAATCCTAAAATTGTCTTTGCTTTTCCTTCATCATTAGAAAAATAACAAAACTATGGCTGCTGGTGTCCAGTAGGAAGAGCGAAATCATACTGAGAAGTTCGCAGATAAAAATCACTCAATAACTCATATTTGTTACTAGAACTCAGGATGTTTCTCTCATAAGAAATTCACTCCATGAATAATTTTGAGCCAAATTGAAATTGTAAAATTTTAGTATTTTTTACTCTTATATTACTAAGACAAGGCCTTGAGGACTGAAACTTTCATCATAGAAAGCATCAATGTTTGGCTACATTTTGCTGAAGACTGAGCTTCAATATCTTGAATCTGAACAGAGATATTATCATTATATTGTTAATCATTGGTTGTATGAATAATTTTGTCACTCCCTGTATATATGTTTTTTGATTATAATATCATCAATTAATTGATAATTATTTGATGCTTACTTCATCTGGAGTAACTTTGACAAAATTTGTTGTTGAAGTTATAATTTCGTCGGCTGGTGTAACTTCGATACGACATATGCATACATGAATGCACACACACGGGACAAATACACTTATCGACCCTTCCCTCTTCTATCGATCTAATTCGACTAACTAGCCTCTGAGGAGTTCATTAAAAGTATTCCCAAGTGTCCCAGACCAATAGTTTAAGAGATAACATGTATTCGTTCGCTTGATACAAGCCTCACAATGCATCTCAATAGCTGAGGGTGAAGGAAAAATTTTGACACAGCCGGCAAAGGGCACACCAATAGCTGAGAGTGTCATGAAACAATACTTCATGGCACTCTCAGCTATTGATATGCCCTTTGGCAGCTGTATCAAGCGGAACAAATACATGTTATCTCTTAAAGTATTGGTCTGGGCTCCTTGGAAATACTTTTAATGAACTCCCCAGAGGCTACCCATGGCGTAAATTTCTGCGAAAAAAACGCGTTCTGAAAACGCGTTTTTCCATAGCTGCGAAACGCATTAATGCTGACCGGTTTGACGCGTTTCACATCTGCTAAAACAAATGCTGTGTAACGATCGTTTTTGTGAAAAATTTCGCAGCGTTTCTCAAACTGTGGTGTCGTATATTCTAGATGGAAAAAAAAACTGAAAACCGTCAATGACTTCATAGATCTTGAATAGTAGGTGCAATTTATGTACTCGTTTACATTTTTTATAGACCTCTAGAACTA